TGTTGGGGTTTCTTGCTGTTCTTTTTCGATTTGCTGAAGATTTTGGGTTAGAGAGTCAGTGGTCAGTTTTTCCTGCCTTTTGATGTGTTTGCTTACTGCTATAAATTGACCTCTGATTACTGCTTTTGCTGTTTCCCAGAGGTTTTTGGTAAGTTGTGTTTTCATTGTCATTTGTTTATTTCTTCTAGCACCCACTCGTGTTCAAGCAAGTTGTTGTTCAGCTCCCAAATGTATGATTTTTCTCCTTTATCCTCTTGTTATTAATTTCTAATTTTGTGGCATTGTTGTCTGAGAAGATACATTGTATAATTTGTATGTTTTTTAATTTGTTGATGCTTGCCCTGTGACCTAGTGATCTATTTTTTAGTCTTTCTTTATCCTCATTTTTCAGATGTGTCTTTTGTAGACAACATATTGACGGATTTTGGATTTTTTTATAATCCAATCTGCTACTCTTTTTATCTTCAGTGGTTCATTTAAACCATTCATATTCAGTGTAATTATTGAGAGGTAAGGATTTATCACTATCATTTTGTTCAATTCTTTTTGGCGTTGTTGCTAGTTACTTTAGTCCATCCTGTTTGCTGTGGCAACTCTGTGTGAAAGACATCTCTCAGTGTTTCCTATAAGGCTGGTCTTGTTTTTACAAAGTCCCTTAGGTTCTGTATTTCTGGGCATATTTTGATCTATCCTTCGTATTTGATGGACAGTTTTGCTGGGTACAGTATTCTTGGTTGACCTTTGTGTTCTTTGAGTGTTCAATCTATGCCATTCCATTGTCTTTTGCTCACATGATTTCTACTGAGAAATCGGCACTTAGTTTTATCTGCTGTCCCTTATAGGTTACTCTCTTGTTGCTTTCAGTATTCTCTCCTTATCTTTGGTTCTAGTAAATTTGACAGTGATATGCTTGGTGGTTTTCTTTTAGGGTCTATTCTAGATGATGTTCGCTCAGCTTCTTGAATATATATATTCTCTCATTCTTCATTATGCCTGGAAAGTTTTCATCTAGTAATTCTTCCACAACTTTTTCAGGCCTTTACTTGATTCTTCCTGTTCTGGGATTCTGATGATGCAAATGTTGTTTCTTTTGATGGTCTCCCAGATTATTCTTAGGTTTTTTTCTGTTTCCTCCTTTTTTGATGCTGCTTTTTTGCTACGTCAGATCTGTGGTGACAATTCTATCTTCTATTTCACTGATTCTGTTTTCCATCTCTTCACCTCTGTTCATATGTCCCTCCATCATGTTGACAGCAATTGGGATCATGGTTTCTTGTTTTTCCAGTGCCTCTAATGCCTCATTTGTTTTATCTGCATTGTTTTGGATTGTTTTTTTAAGCTCCTCTTGGGTTTTGCTTGCAGTGTCCTATAACTCTTCAAGTTTGTTTTTCATCCATTGAAAATATTCATTTTTTTTTAAATTGTGTCAGAAAGTTCCATCAGACTTTCTGGCTTTTGGAAATCCATTGATACTGTGTTTTTTGGGAGGAGATATCTTGCTTTGGGTTTGCATGGCGAGTGAGGTACCCTGCTTCTTTCGGGACATTGATGTGGTAGAGTTTTTCAAATCTGAGGTGATAGCTGATTCTTGATTTGACATCACTGCTCCAGGAGAAGGTTGGGCAGGAGCATAAGCAGATGAATGTAGGGTGTGTGTGCACACTTAGATACACACTTGAGTGGGGAGGGGAGAAGCACAGGCTGATACATGCCAGGAGGGGTACAGGGGAACCTGAATAATGAAGGAGGAAGTGTGTAGATCCCTTCTGGGAATGGCTTCTTACCTTTGACCAGATGCCCAGGAGCTCCCTGTTGTTTGAGTTAGCAGGACCAACGTGGTCAGGCCAGACAGCAGTTTGTAGCCCAGAGTCACTTAATCTTCAGTGTTAGATGAGTTTTTCAGGGGAGTTTGATAAATCCTATAGATTTGGTCTATGTTTTTTGTCTTCCTGGCCCAAGGGCCGAAGGCCTGAGTGCCCCAAAATTTAAATCTGGCAATTTAAATCTGGCACTCCCCTGTGAACTGCTGGGACTCATAGTTTCTGTACCTGTGTGGCGTGGGTGGGTCGGACAAGAGTGGGTCCTGTCCTATCCTACTTTTGTAACAGTGGTCTTACAGTTTTTGGGGTTTTGTTACTGAATTATTTTGCATGATATCCTCTTCTCTAGATTTTGTGTCATAAACATAATACGTTTCTTAAAGTAGTTTGCAAAGTGATTTTCTTAAAAATTGGACATTTAGTTGGCACATTTTGGAAATTGTGTAAGATTATTACATCAGAACACTTGTGTCAGATTATTAATTTCTGTTACTACATTTGCATATTCCCTGTCTGAATCCCATTTTTTAGCTTCACAGGGTTAAGGAAATGTGCATATTACTAAGTAAAATAAAGTTAAAAATGGACTGAATTGTTGTAAGAATCAGCTATAAATGGTGTCAGAAGAAACTCAAAGTGCCCCTATCCTGGCCTGCTCCTTCTTACCTCTCTCTCCTGTTCCTCTGCTCTACTCATGATACTCCAGAAGGGACCCTGTGCACAGGGAATATCAGCCTCTGCCACTGCAGTATGACAAACTTACAAACAAGTAGTGATCAGGGACTTTAGTTAAAGCTATTGAATAGCTCAGCCACACACAGAGGAAATTGAACAACTTGCATTGGTTATTGCCATAGTGACCTCATTCTTTGTTGCATGTGGCATACTCACAGTCCTATAATTTAGCCAGTTAGTTCCATAGATTTCTGTTCTTATGGGAAGGGTAGCTAAAGGAAGGACAGAAAACATAGGAATTTCCTGGGTAAAGTTATTTGAAGATTTGTATAAAATAGTAGAAGTGATTGTGTCACAATTTAACTACTGAAGCAATAATAATCAAATCTACCTTTTTACCAACTCTGATATCAGCATACTTCTTCTCTGGAAGGTTTGATAATATGTTTCATGGGCCCCAAAGAACTCAAAAAACATCATCCTTTAGATTAAATGTTTTATAAAGGAAGTAACAGGGTACAACTGGGAACCAAGATCAACAGGCTATAGCCCAGGATCAGGAAGCTTGCAGACTTAGCCCAGTAGTCCTCCAGAGAAATTAGTACAGCCCTTCTTTCACTGCAGGATATAGGCTTCTCTCCCTTTGGCCTTTGTCTGAGGCCTCTTTCAGACTTAACTGCCATTACTTGCCAGAAAAGCCCCTATTTTCAGTGTTATAATCCTTGACCCATTTTATTACTCGTTGCTTCCTCTCTCTCTCACCTTTATCTTGCTTCTTTCTCTTTACTTTTGCTTCCATATCGCTGAGGTTTTTTCTCCCTGAAAAAACCTGTCAAAGTTGGCTGCATAATAAGACATGGCCACTCCCAGCAGATAGACCACAAACTGACCAATTTCCTTCTGTAGGCCACAGGTACTGCATAGCATAGCATGCTAGTCACTATTTCCAAAGTATTTACCAGTTACACGGAGCAAGCTGAAGATCAGGAACAGACAATAATTATCAAGCCAGGTTGTTTACAGCTTATTCAAGAAATGTATCAAACCTTGAATGGAAGACTAAGACAGAGGTAACTCCACAGCGTTTAAGGACAACCAAGGAATAGATCATATAATAGAATTCATCTCACTACACTTTGATAACTAAATTTTCTCATTTAGCTTGTATACCAGAGGTAGAGAATCCCTTATCTATTACTCTGTGCTAGAAATGTGACTCATTTAGTAGATATTTTTTAAAGACTACTTACAGGCCTAGGAAGAAAGACCTATCAATCTACTTTGAAAAAGTAGCCATTATGTTTGATATTAAATTATGAATTAATAGGGAAAAAAGAGGAAACCATATAGATCATAAAGCTTGGTCTGCAACTAATTACATGCTTGATACATGTAGACTGCGCCACATTTCTTTCCATTGTATGTGGGTTGCTATGAGCCCATGATGGTCCATTTGCAGCTAAGTACTGGGGATACAAAAGTGAACAAACTATGTCTTCTGCTACTAGGGCTAGAGGAAGAAAGAGCAAACAGATACAGTTGGAATATGGGTAGGGCACCTAGCCTGAAAAAGCTTTCCTGGGGCAGGGAACTCCAGGGCTGAATATTCATGTCTGATGGAAAGTTAACCAAGAGTAGTGGCTCCCCATTATTTACCTACATTCTTTGCATTCTCATAAATATCCTGTGGCATCCTTAGGTTAGTTTGCACTTGTGGGAAAATTCTGTCAAAAATTAATTAATTAATTGATTGATTGATTGACTGATGAATTAATTAGTCATTTTCTCATGGTCACAGAACTCGAAACAGGCTCATGACTCACACTGAAGGCTTTTCACCACATCACTTTAATCTGTTTCTCTCAGCTACCAGTATAGCTCAACTATCCCTTTCTCTCTGGGATTTTTAATGCTTTAGGAACTGGAAAATCACATCAGTTAGCAAGACTCTCTTGTTTCCTGCTATCTCAAATTGCCTTCTTAGAGATAGATGTCATGGTGATCTCTTCCTCTTTGACATTGTCTCTCTGAAAGACCTTTGAGATGCTCAGTTTCCCCATACCCTGACCTAGAGGTTCTTCTGGCAGCTCCCGGTCTCTTGGCTAGTTAGGTCACAATTAGCCATGTGCCCCTTTGTCTGCACAGCTGTGCAGAGATTCTCACACACACTGAGACTTTTGCACAGACCTAACTGAATGAGCTCTGGTGGCTTAAGAGAAAAGGAGTCGTGCTGCCAACTCAGAGGCATACAATTTGAATCTGCCAGCTGCTTCATGAGAGAAAGATAGTCTCCTCCCATGTGATTTACTGCCTCTGAAAACCCACTGGAGGGGCAGCTGTGAGTTGGTGAGTTGTGAGCTGTGAGCTGTAAGTACTCTAAGAGCTGAGTCCCAGGGGGATATACTTCATGGGGGCTAGGGGTGGGGGACAAATGCTCACGATGACTTAAGGTTGTTTTTATGATTTTTTCTTTTTTTCATGTGTCTATTTTGTTTGCATTTACAGTTTCAGCAGTCCACAAAGAAACCAAGCAGTTCTTCACTTTATATAATACCCTGGATGATAAAAAGGTTTATTTAGAAAAAGAGGTAATAATCATAAGAAAATAATTTGATGAGAAGTGCTTTGACCTTGGCTGAGTTAATTCGATGTATGGTATATATCCAGTTTAAGTTAAACACAGAAAAGTACACAGTTTTGGGGTGAATTGAGACAAGCAAAACCTTTTAAAAATACTGTGTGAGAAATGAGCTCTGGTGACCCTAGAGGATCAGGCGTTGCACTGCCAAACCAAATGCGGTGGTTCATGTCTACCAGCTGCTTCATGGGAGAAAGTGGGAAAAGTCTCTGGCAATTGACAGCCTCTGAAAACCCACTGGAAGGTCAGCTATAAGTCACTTCTGGCCTGATGGCAAGTAGTAACTAGTAAGAAGTAGTAGTGGTGGTGGTAGTCTAAGAAATACTAAGATAAAAGTGAAAATAGTGGAAAGGTCCTGGGGTTGATTTAGTTTAAGTTCTAATGGAAGGGAAGAACCAGCTAAATGAAATGGAGATGTTATGCTTGTCAATATTTATATAAGGAAATATTTTCATCAGTGACCGGCCGTTGGTCCTTCTTCCTAATGCTTTCTGATTCTTTCACTTGAATTAAATCCATTTATGACTCAGAATTTCCCATTAGTGTTTGGGGACAGGTGTTTTATTAAAAAAAAATGAAGAGGAAGAAGAGTACTCAGTACCTCTTAACATGGAGGCAAACCAGTATAGTGGAAAGAGTATGAGCCTTTGAACTGGGCTTATTTAGGTCTCAGTTAACCTCATTGTCCTTGTAAAATGAGGATGTTTCATTCATATGATTAAAGATAATGAGAAGATGAGCATAAAGTTTTACACATCTGTTGGATTCTTCATGTAATTGGTTCCCTCTTCACCTTGAGGTTGATGGGAAACCTTTCTTTTTATCATCATGTTACTGTTTTTGTTGTTAAGGAACAATGTTCTATCATCTCTTAAGTCCTCTCTAATTTGGCACTCTGGAAATAAAGGGCAACATTCAGTAAGATGGACGGGACTTTCCATTCTAGTATTTGGGTACCTTCAAACAATACTGGGTTGTGAGAATTGAAGTATTGTGTGAGGGTAGAGAGGAGAAAACTGGAGCTAAGCACATGTTTCTCTTTTTTTGCTTCTCTTTTTCCATGTTATTCTAAATAAACAGGGTATCTACAATGAAATGTGCAAGGATTTGGAGTCAGAAAATCAAAAGGGCCAAACTCGCTCAGCATTTCTTAAGCTCAAGGAACTGAAGAACAAATTCAAACCTCGAGTTGCTATAATCAAGAATGCTTTCGGCAGAATGTTAAATGATCCAGGAAGTATTCAAAGAAGATGGGAAGAATATACTGAATCATTGGATCGAAAAGAATTGGCAGACACAGAAGAATTTGATGAAACAACGTATGAGCAAGAGGCTGTGGTGATGAAAGAAGTAGTTCAGGCTGCTTTGAAGGAAATGGCAAAAAATAAGGCTCTAGGAATAGATGGCATACCAGTTGACATATTTCAGCTAACAGATGCTGCCCTGGATGTGCTCACCAAGTTGTGCCAAGAAATCTGGGGAACAACCACTTGGCCAGCTGACTGGAAGAGATCTATATTTGTTCCCATCCCAAAGAAAGGTGTTCTAACAGAGTGTGGAAACTATAGAACAATATCATTGATTTCACATGCAAGCAAGATTCTACTGAAGATTATCCAAAAATGACTGGAACAGCACATCAGCAGAGAACTGCCAGAAGTCCAGGCTGGGTTTAGAAGGGGTCGTGGCACTAGGGATATTGTAGCTGATGTTAAGATGGATCTTAGCTGAAAGCAGAGAATACCAGAGGAATGTCTATCTGTGTTTCATTGACTATGCAAAGGCGTTTGACTGTGTGGATCATAACAAACTGTGTCTGATTTTGAGAAGAATGGGAATCCTAGAACACTTGATTGTTCTAATGCGAAACCGATACTTGGACCAAGAGGCAGTCGTCAGAACAGAGCAAGGAAACACTGCATGGTTCAAAATTGGGAAGGGCGTACACCAGGGATGCATCCTATCTCCATACCTTTTCAACCTATATGCAGAACAGCTTATCCGGGAGGCTGGGCTCTATGAGAAATGTGGGGTCAAGATTGGTGGAAGATCTGTCAACAATCTGCGTTACGCAGATGACACAACCCTGCTTGCTGAAACTGAGGAGGTCCTGAAGTGCCTGCTGCAGAGGGTCAAGGACTGCAGCCTCCAATATGGATTGAGGCTCAATGTCAAGAAGATAAAGATTCTCACCACTGGACCATTTGGCAGCATCAGGATGGATAGTGAAGAGATTGAAATTGTACACAGCTTTAGTTTGCTTGGCTCCACAGTCAACAGTCTTGGCACCAGTAGCCAGGAAATTAAAAGTTGCATTGCTATGGGAAAGTCTGCTGTTAGGGACCTCTCCAAAGTACTGAAGAGCAGTGGTGTCTCTCTGGAGACTAAGGTGTGTCTGATACAGGCCATGGTCTTCGCAATCACTTGTTATGCATCAGAGAGTTGGACAATGACCAAGGAGGATAGAAGGAGAATTGATGCCTTTGAGCTGTCATGCTGGAGAAGAGTATTGAGAGTACCATGGACTGCTAGGAAAACAGATTCATCCTGGAAAGGGTTAAACCGGGCTGCTCCTTGGAGGCAAGGATTCTGAGGCTCTGTTTAACATACTTTGGACATGTTGTGAGGAGAGACTGGTCCTTGGAGAAGGACCTCATGCTTGGGAGGGTGGAGGGACAGCGCAGGAGGGGAAGGCCCTCTATGAGGTAGATTCATTCAGTGACTGGGTTAATCGGGATGGGAGGGTCAGAGACAGTGCGATTGGCACAGGACAGAGCAGAGTTTAGGGCTGTTGTACATAGGGTCACTATGAGTCGCAAGCAACTCAACGGCACATAACAACAACAAACACCTCAGAAACAGTATCTAGAGAGAAGGCAAACTTATAATGCTTGAGATTGTGAAGGACTTTCTCAACTTACTGTTTACAGGTTTTGTTACATGTTTTCTTTTGTTGGTGGTTTTAATTTTATTTTCCCCCCCAGATAAGCCTGCTGAACTCAATTCATGAAAACTTCTCACAGTAAGTACTGTCAATCCTTCTCTCAGGAAAGCCTTGATAGTTCCTGCACTTCATAATTCACCTACATCAGTGTGATTGAGAAAAATTTTCAAATAATTTCACTATGCCCCGATACTGTAAAGTCTTTGTGTATTAATTTTGTCTATTTTAATAAACTCTAATTGTATTTGTAGCATTAAATATAATTAGATGCTTTGCAATTTAATAAAAATAATGTCATAATTTGATAAAAAGAATTTTAAAATCTTGTAGTAAGTTTTGATTGTCAGTGTTAATGAACAGCTTCTAACTACTTTGTTTAAAGAAATATATTTTTCTCCCAGAACTGAGTGGTACAACCTGCCTGTGTCTAAGATGTAGCAGCCTCCAGCCTGCCTGTCAGCCTACCTACTGGTCTGCTTTCTAGGTAGCAGACATCACCAAACAAATTTATTCTCAGTAATACTGCTGAAAAGCGTAATAGGTTTCAGGCTTACAGTTTTCAGTTGTTTTACTTATTAAAGGGGGAAAACCCAAAACACAGCTCTCAAATAATGAATTGTGTACTCTCCTGTGACATTCCTAAAAATGGTGCTTTCATCTTCATTTTCTGGGACTGCAGTGCAGTTTCCTGCCACTAGGCCACCAGAGCTCGCCTCATCTTCATTTTCTGATCATTAGGAGACTTGTATTCTTTGCCAACCTGCAGGTTTGTGTTTTTTTTTACAAGAGTCTTCAATTCCCAAGTCCACTGCAACTCACAGCCACCTTATAAACAGCGTATCTGAACCACGCACATCCTGGTCATCTCTGATAATATTCATACCCATTGTTAGTCATTCTGTCAGTCCATCTTGCTGAGGGCTTTCTGTGACTTTCCACCCTTCCCGACATGAAATCCTTTTTCAAGGACTGACCCCTTCTAACAAATTGCCCAAAATACATGAGACAAACTTTCACTATTCTTGCATCTATGGAGCAGTATCTTTGTGCTCCTCCTAGACAAACTTGTTTGTTCTTTTGGCAGTCCATGTGGTATTCAGTACTCTACTCCTACATCACAATTCAGAAGAAATCTAGTACTTCTAACTGCTGTTTCTAGAAACTAAGACCAGGGTGTCCCAAACCTGGCTTTAAGGACTTTCAAGAAATGTGTTCTGATCTTGAGTAGCTTTTCTAAATACTCTGATTTCTAAAACTGAAATCCCATTCTTAAGTGATATATGCCATAATTTAAATTTAAAGATAATCTTGTCAATTCTCATAAAATTTTATTTTATAGTAATTAAAGATATATTAGGTAAAAGAAAACAGGTGAATATTTGAACAAGAACAGGCTAATTTCATTGCCCTCTGAGGTCCAGCTCTATGGGTCCAGAGTGACTTGAGTTCTTGCATCTGCCATTTATCAAGAGTCTTACATTTTTCTTTCAGAGCCATGACTTCCCCTGCTTCCCGGGACCAGTTTTTACGTCAGATGGAACAGATTGTAGAAGGAATTAAGCAAAGTAGAATGAAGGTCAGATGGCTTTTTTTCTCTCTCTTTTGAATCTTAAAATTTTGTCTTACAACAGAATTTTGCTTTTGTAATATAACCCACATCAATGGTGGTGAAGACCCTCGGGAGAGCAGTCTCTTTTGGCTGTACGGGAGTATTATGGTCTCAGTCCTAGAGGCACTAGGCAGTGTTTGAGGCCTATTCCATGAGCTGCCAACACCTGGTACTTCAGAGGCTGCAGGTCACCTGAATGTAAGCTTCTAGGATTTGAACACCGATCTGTAGTATTACCCCCATTTTATAAAAGAGGTAACTGACTCTCATTGGGACTCCCTTTCTTGTTCAAAATCACTTCCTTCTTTGATTTCAGTTTGTGATGTTCTGCCATTAGAGTTTTATTTCTTAGAATTTCAAGAGCTAGGAATCCCTAGGAAAAATGAGACAATAATATCATTGAACTATACCCCTAGAAATGGTTCATTGTGTATGCCCCCCCCTTTTAATACTGGTATATTTATAAAGTTTGAATTCATTGTTTTTCACACCAGATCTTTCCCATTTTGCTTTATATATTCCCAAAACCAAGTAAATTTTGTTTCTTTTAATTGAAGCAATACTACTTTGTCAGATGGGGACAGTAAGAGTCAAAATTGACTCAGTGGCACCTAATGACAACAACATAAAAAATACTAATAATCCCTAAACTGAATTCTAAAGTGAGAGGAAATTGAATGTGAGAAGTCAGGAGAGAGAAGAGTGGAATTGAAGAGAGCCCTAGTAGAATAGCAGCCTGAGGGGTTTTCCTTCCTGGCAGGGTCTGCACATGAGGCATATTTTGTGTGTAGTAAAATAGACTTACAGTAATTGTAAAGAATAAACATAGCATTGCAGTTTCTTCCTGTCTTCCCCAGGTAGATACTTACTTTTGTGTTATGTGATGTTGAGTTGAAACCAACCCATAGCTGGCCTTCCAATGGGTTTTCAGAGACAATAAATCTCACAGCAGGAGATTACCCATTCTTCTTCAGCAGAGTGGCTAGTGGATTTGAACTCCGTGCCTTTGGAATTTAGCATAGCTTCTTACCACTAAGCTTCCAGAGCCTCATACATATCTCTTCAGTACTGTTCAAAAAAATCTGTCAGTAGTGAACAGTCTCCTCCCATGATTTACAACTGATCAAGGGTTGGCTATACATGGTTCCAAGTTGACAGCAATGAATTTATTTGAGTTTGCGTCGCATACATGATTTTCTCAGACCCATCTATAGAAATGAGAAAGGAGTTAACGCTTGATTTGTGCAGAATAGCACTCTTGTCTGTTTTTAATTACCCTGCAGAGAGGTGGGTGGAAGAAAGAGAACTGCTATTAGCACCACAGTGGTGGCAGTGCAGGAACCTACTGCTTTGTCTCAATCTCTCTCCCTAGGCGAGCAGTTGAATAAGACGCCCCAGTGCAGAGAGACCTTACTCAGGTCTACACTTCAGAGTTGGCAAGCAAGAAATATTTGTAATATGAGTAAATACATTCAATGGATTTGAAAAGTACATCTCAAAGAGGCTCCAGATAGGCACTGACTATTGAATGGCACCATAATAAGTCTACTTTGTGCTAATTTGAATGGAGTTGTTTTGGTGCATCTATTAATAAAAACTACATATCCTGTCTGTAGGTGTGCTAAGGGATTTAATGTCCTTTTGGAGCAAAGATTTCCAAGAATAGATAGGCTCAGGGATTACACATAATAGACCAGTATTAGGTACAGGTAAGAGAATAGGTATTAATGTTCCATCTAAAGACTTAGGAATATAGAGGAAGTGGTGGGTTTCTCTCAGGGTTAGAGTATAACTCAAGCTTTGGGGTTTTGAGTCTTTGTCTCTGTGTTTTCTGTTTTCATTATGCCAGAAAGGAAAAAAAAAGTTTACTCTTTCTTTTTCGTTCCTTTTTTTTATTTTTAAATTTGATTATGGAAAAATGTATGTGGCAAAACTTCTGCCAAGGTCCCTGTGGGTAGATTAAAACTGTGACCTTGCCTTTAATAGCTGAGCACCATTTGTGCCACCCAGAGACTCCTCCCTTTATTTTATAAGCTATATAACTAAAAAAGACTAAAAGGAAGCTTCTTGTCTACTGCAGTCAGGTGTTTTCTTGCACTGGTAATCTCAGAGTATTCTCAGTACTGTAATTTTTGGTCAGAACATGCCTTTTTACCACCATTTCCCAATTTTTTTCAACAGATGGAAAAGAAGAAACAAGAGAACAAAATGAGAAGAGACCAGTTGAATGACCAGTACTTGGAATTGTTAGAGAAACAAAGACTATACTTTAAGACTGTGAAAGAATTCAAGGAGGTAAAAGGATGGTTGGGAAGGACAGGTTCAGGCTGAAGATGAAGTATATGTTTATAATGAGCTTTCTCAAAGGAGAGCTAATTTTCAATGACTTCCCAAAGCTCCTTAATTGGAAATAGCAAGTTAACAGTTTAACTGAACAATAATTAAATGTGGCATCTAAGTGCTCCAGAGTGGTATGGGTTTGTTTGGGGGATTTTTTTGTTTCAAATATGGTACTGGTGCTTGTATTTTAGCATACCTTTTTCCCCCCCTTAATTTTATTTTATGCTGGTTTATATAAGAAATTCATAAGTTCACATACATTGGTTTTCACACCAGACCTTCTGCTTTCCTTTACCAATGCATCCCTCCACCCATCAAATTGTGTGACTCTGTATCTAAGCCCCCATCCTTGAATCTGTGTACATACCCTCTACACTAATGATCCTATACAGTATTTGTCTTTATGAGAGGGAGTTCACTTAGCATAATGATCTCCAGTCCCTCCCATATTAGGTAGTAATTTTCAAAATCATTGCTCCTATGTACTGCACAATATTCCACTGTGTGAATGTACCATAATTTCTCAGTCTATTCCATTGTGTTTGGGCTGTTTCCATGTTCTTGCCGTGTGAATAATGTCGCTATAACTTTGGTGTACATGTCTCTGTTTGTGCTTTTGTTCTTATTTCCTCAGGGTATATTCCAAGCAGTGGAATAGCTGGGTCATATGGAAACTCTATGTTCAGCTTTTTGAGGAAATGCAAAACTGCCTTCCAGAGTGCTTATACCATTTTACAATCCCACCAACAATGTATAAGAGTTCCTATCTCACCACATCTCTCCAACATCTATTACTTGATGCCCTGTTACTGGGGTAAGATGGTATCTATCTCATTGTGGTTTTAATTTGCATCTCTCTTATTGCCAGTGCATTTGTTCATGCATCTATTGGTCATCCAAATTTCCTCTTCTGTGAAAAGTCTTTCCATGTCTGCCCATTTTGTAATTGGATTATCAGTCTTTTTCTTCTGGAGTTCCTATAGAATTCTGTAAACTTTTGTGATAAGACCATTGTCTTAGGTGGTATTGCCAAATATTTATTCCCAGTCAGTAGATTTTCTTTTCACCCTGTTAGAAAAAGTTTTTGATGAACACAAAGATTTAATTTTTAGAAGTTCCATTCAACAATTTTATCCTCTTCAAATTGTGTATTTCAGGCTGTACTTGCCAATCCCTTTATACTGTAGACTAGGTCTTCTAAGCTTGGTCCCAGTTTGTCTCTTATGAGCTTTACGGTTTGGGGCTTTATTCTCAGGTCTCTGATCCACCTTGAGTTGATTTTTATGTATGGTGTGAGATGTGGGTCCTATTTCAGCTTTCTACAGGTAGCAGTTCAGTTTGCCAGCACCATTTGTTGAAGAGGTTATCATTTCCCCATTTGATAAATTTTATTTCCTTGTCAAATATCAGTTGACCTTAGATAGATGGGTCCATTTTTGGTTCTCATTTCTGTTCCATTGCTCTGTGTGCCTATCATTGTACGAGTACCATGCTGTTTGGGTTACTACTGCTGTGTAGTAGGTTTTGAAGTCAGCAAACATGATGCCTCCTACTTCTTTTTTTTTCTTCCCAGAAGTACTTTGCTTATTCAGGGTCTCTTTCCTCTTCCAAATAAACTTTGCCATTTCCCTTTCGATTTCCTTGAAAAATGAGTTTGGTATCTATATTGGGATTGCGTTGAACACGTAGATTACTTTTTGATAGGATTGTCATTTTCACAATATTGAGTCTTCCTGTCTTATCAACAGGTTACATTTTCCCATTTCTTTATCTCTTTTATTGTGTCTTGCAGAAAGCTTCTATAGTTCCCTTTGTATAGATCTTTTGTATCTTTAATTGGATTCACTTCCAAGTATCTCAACTTGTGGTTGGTTATTGTAAATAATAATTGCCTTCTTGGTTTCCTTTTCTAAGTTCTCTCTGTTACTATAGAGGTATCCCACTGATTTTGGATATTGATCTTGTATCCTGCCACTCTGCTAAATTTATCTACTAGTTCTAACAGGTTTTTTTTGAGTCCTTGGGATTTTCTGTGTATACTATCATATCATCTACAGAGGGCAACAATTTAACCATCTCTTTGCTGATCAGGATGTCTTTTAGTTCCTTCTCTTATTGTATTGCCCTAGCAAGTACTTCCAGTATAGTATTGAATAGCAGTGGCAACAGTAGACATCCTTGTCTGGTCCAGGTTCACAGAGAAAATGCTTTTAGTCTTTCTCCACTGAGAATGATACTGGCTCTTGGTTGTGCATATATACTTTTGACTATGTTGAGGAAATTTCCTTCTATTCCAATTTTGTTGAGTCTTAATCAGGAAGGGATGTTGAATTTTGTCAGATGCCTTTTCTGCATCAATTGCTAAGAGCATATGATTCTTGTTATTTGTTTTGCTAATTTGATGAATTACATTAATTACTTTTCTTATGTTGAATGATCTTGCATATCTCTTATGAATCCCACTTGGTCATGATAATTGTGTGTGTGTGTGTGTGTGTGTGTGTGTGTGTGTTTGTACAGTCAAATTGGATCTGACTGGTACTGGAGGAAATTACCCCTCCTTCTCCAGCAGAGCATCTGGTGGATTTAAACTGCGTACCTGTGGAATTGTATGCAGCTTCTTGCGACTAGGCCACCAGAGCTCCCTCTGAATTAATTTTTTAATGTGCTTTTTGGTTTCTGTTGGCTAGGATTTTGTTAAGGATTTTTGCATCTGTGTTCATGAGAGATACTGGTCTGTAGTTTTATTTTTTGGTAATATCTTGGCCTGGTTTTGGTATTAGGGTTATGCTTGCTTCATAGAATGTCTCTGGAATTATTCCTTCTTTTTCTATTTTTTGAAATAACTTAAGTAGAATTAATGATTAATTTTCCCTGAATGTTTGATAGAATTTAGCTGTGAAATCATCTGGTCCAGGACTTTTTTTGTGGGGGAGTCTTTCTTTGACCTTCTCAATTTCTTCTTTTGTGGTGGGTCTGTTCAAGTGTTCTACATCTGACCATGACAGTCTCGGTAGGACATGAGTTTCAAGGAATTTGTCCATTTCCTCTTAGTTTTCAAATATATCAGAGTATAACATTTTATATTTTTATGCATAATACATTTCTTTTTTTATATATTTTCTTATATGTTTTTAATATATTCCGATATTCTAGTTCATTTCCTCTGGTTCTGTTGTGATGTCAGCTCTCTTGTTGTTGTTGTTGTTGTTAGGCGCCATTCAGTTGTGTACAACTCAAAGACCCTATGAACAAAAGATCTGAAACCAGTCCTCTCCTGCACCATCCTCACATTTCCTGATACACGAGCCCATTGCAGCAGTCACCTTGTCAATCCACCTGGTTGAGAGTCTTCCTTTCCTTCACCAAACCGCCACCCTTCCCAACATCATGTTTGTCTCCAAGGAACAGCACCTCCTGACAATATGTCAAAAGTATGTTAGACAAAGTCTCATCATTTTCACCTCCAAAGAGCACTCTGGCTGCACCCTCTCCAAGACCTATCTATTCATTTTCTTGGCTGTCCATGGAATGTTCAGTGCTCTTCTCCAACACCACAGCTCAAAAGCATCGTCCTTATTTGTATCTGTGATCCTTATTTATTGTCAAGGTCTTGGATACATAGATAGTAATTGGAAAGACCATGGCTTAAATCAGATGCACCTTAGTCCTCAAACTGACATCACTACTCCTCGGTTATTTCTATCTGTATCTGTTGTCACCTCTATCATTCTTTAATTGAGTTATTTTTGTCTTTTTTTTTCCATTTTGTTAAGTTTACCAGTGGTTTGTCAATTTTATTGATCCTTTGGAAAAACCAGCCCCTAGGCTTATTTTTGGTTTCAGTTGTTTATCTGTTTTCTGTCTCATTGATTTCAGTTATTATCCTTATAATTCCCTTTCTTCTAGAAGCTGTTGGGTTAGATTGTTGTTCTTGTTCTATTTGGTGAAAGTGTTGAGTTAGATCATTTATTTTGCTTCTTTCTTCGTTTTTTATATGCTTGCTATTTCTGTGAACTGGCTCCCGAGGACTGCCTTATCTGCATCCCAGAGATTTGTTTCGAGAAACTTTATTTCATTCTTTATTTCTTTTTTAACCCAATCGTGTACAAGCAAGAAAAAATTTAGCTTCCACGTTGACGGCTTTATAAACTTTATCTTCTTGTAGTTAATTTCTAGTTTTATGGCATTATAATCTGAGAAGGTACTTTGTACTATTTCAGTGACTTTTAATTTTTTTAGCTTTGTGCCCTAATATTTTATCATTTCCGGAGAATGTACCATGTGCACTTGAGACGACAGTGAATTGAGTTTTAGTTGGGTGAAGCGATTGAAATATATCCACAAGGTCGACTTGGCTGAATGTGTAGTTTAATTCTTCTGCATCTCTGTTAAGTTTCTTTTGAGTTAACCTATCTTTGGAGATAGTGGTGTATTTAAAGTGTCCTACCACTATTGTGGTGTTGTCTGTTTCTTTCTTCAGTTCTGTTAACAGTTGTTTTGTATATATAACAAGTCTCTCATTTGGTGCATAAATGTTGACCAATGTTATGTCCTCTTGATCTACCTTGCCTTTAATCACTATATAGTGCCCTTCCTTATCTTTTATGAGGTTTTTCATTCTAAAGTCTGTTTTATCGGAGATTGGTATTACCACTCCTGCTTTTTTGTGCATCTCATTTGCTTTGTATATCCTTTTTCTAGTCTTTGATTTTGAGTCTATCTTTTTCTTCACTTACCAAAAGTATGTTATTCCTTTTGATGTCATCCCACATAATTCTAATATTCATTTTCTTTATGTCTCATATCTGATTTTTCTTCTAGTATGTTTCCATTGAGGTTCTTGTCTTCCAACTCACTGACTCTGCTCCATCTCTTCTATTTTGTCTTTCCAATGTATTGGACACTTCTGCCAATTTATTCTTAATGGTCTGGATTGCATTTTCTTGTCTCTGTTATTTTTTGTACTGTTTTGGCAGTACCCTCTCTAGATTGTGATGATTTTTTTAAGTTGTTGTATCTTTTTATATATAATTTCATTTACTCTATTTTTTTTGTATTTTCTTCCATATTTGTGCAGATTCCTCCTCCTCAATGTATTTCTTCTGGATCCATGTCTCAGGAGCACTTGCTTTCTTGTTGGTTTCCATTATTTCTTCCATCATTAGCATCATCTTCTTTACCTATTCAAATAACTCTTTGTCAGTATTTTTTTTCTGGGTATCTACTTCTAAGTTACTTCCTGTATCTGTGGCTTTCATTGTTTCTTCCATCACTTTTACCTTTATATGTACCTGTTTGAAGGTCTTCATATCAACATAAATCATCTGCCTTCTTGACTCTGGGCCTTCTTGACTCTGGGGTACCCATGAGTTCTCTAATATTCTCTGGGATTTTTTTTTGGAGAAGGCTTAATTTGTTTTTTAATGGTGTTTGAATCTGCCTGTTGCTTTCTTGACACTGTGTGGAGTTTTTCTTGATGAGTGTTACGTCATTTCTATTGTGTCTACTAAAGTTTTCGGTAGTTCTTGCCTTTGTAATGTTACTAATTAGTTGCCAAGTTAAAATGTGCTGAGTTACTCACTCTACTATAAGTCCTTCCAGGGAAAATTTAACTTTCTTAAAGTCCTTGAGATTCTCTCTGTTCTGCACGGCAGTGCTGTAGGAATCTTGCCTTGAAGTCATCCCCTTCATATATGAAGTATCTGAGTGAGACCAGGTGCTCTACTCAAGCAGTTTCTTATGCAGCTTTTCTCCTGGAACTTAATATCTTCCTTTGTCTCTGGAGTGGCAGGAGATTAGAGATGTGGTCTGCCAGCTCAGACAGCTTGCATACACTGTTTTTCAAGTCAGTCCTCCCTGTTTCTTATAGAGAGCTACAAAAATCTCTTCCCTCTGCCTGAAGTTCGGTGTACTAAAATCTGTTGTTCTGTTTGACCCCTGGATGGCCCAGCAGCCATGGAGGCAAGGATCCTCCAATGAAGGTACCTACAACCCCAGGGACGCCTCAGTCTAGTCTCCCCACAAGCAATAGAGCGTCCTTGCTCTTGGCTCAGAGCCCCACCTCTCCTCACCATTTCTTCTGCAGCTTGGTGTACTCCTTTATCTCTCCACAGTGGTGTTTTAGGACCCATGTTGAGGTCTTGGTGAGTGTTCTGAGAGATACCACATCTTAGCTTTCATTTTGTAATGTGACATGAACTGTAACCTTTGTACAAGTTATATATACTTTTATAAGTATATTAAATTTACAAGTACAATAATATTCTTAGTCCATATCAAGATGTATATGGAAACTGCATTTGTTAGTAATCCAAATATAGAATCCCTCTTCCCTTTGTTTTTTGCACTAGGTAGGAACTTTTACAAAGTGTGTAGGAAGATAGTGAACTTTTGAAGTGTGACAATTGGCATGCATACAGATTCTGAATTTACCATTTATAGACTTTGTCACTTTGAGCAGAACACTGAAAAACTTTAGGAAGCACCATTTAAATAAGAACCAGTGGTAACAAAAGGAAAAATTTCTAGCTGCACTGAAAACATTGGCAAAATATAAGGCCTCAGGACTAAATAGGATACCAGTTGACATGTTTCAGCTAACAGATGCAGCCCTGCATGTGTTCACCATTCTGTGCCTGGAAGTTTGGATGACAGCTGCCTGGCCAAATGACTGAAAGAGATCCATATTTGCTCCTATTTCCAAGAGAGGTGATGCAACAAAATACAGAAATTAATGAGCAGTATCAATAATATGGCATTGCTAAAGACTAACTGCCAGAAATTCGGATTGGATTTAGAATACCATAACACTAGGAATAACATTTTTCAAAGCCAGATGGATCTTGACTAAAAGGAGAGAGTGCCAGAAGGATGTCTTTTTGTGTTTTATTAACTTTACAAAGGCGTTTGACTTTATGGATCAGAACAAATTATAGCTAACAAGAAGAAGAATAGAAATCCCAGATATTTAATTATGCTCATGAAATACCTATACTTAGACCAACTAGCTTTCATCTGAACAGTAAGAAAACACTTGTGGTTTAAAATTAAGAAAGGTGTATGTGGAATCTCTGCACGCATGTTGCCTGCATCTCCCGCTTTGCCTGCAGAACCATGCATCCAGTTAATTAAGTAGGTACTGGACTTAAAAATTTCTTAGTGTGTCTTGGACAGGTGTCTTGCCAGGAGCCCTAGACCATGGCACCACTTCCTAGAGGGGCTCCACCCCCTCTAACTGGAGACACCTGGCCCTGCCCTCTAGACCCCTAAACATGACTGAAGGACCTTATCTGACAGCAGGAACACTCCCACCAGCTGCCTGGAGGCCCTCTGGGCCTTTTCCTGGAAGTCCCAACCCTGCATCCTAGAAGTCCCTCCCCCAGTGCCCAGAAGTCCTGCTCACACCACTGGGAGGTCCTAGACCCACCATCTGGAGTCCTTGGTGACCCCAGCCTCAACACCTGGAGTACGACCTGCTGCCACCCCTCTGAACTGCAACAGAGACTTCAGTGTCACGGATGAACCAGTTTCATTTTCTGCCCCCTCCCAAAACGTGAGCTGCCTTTAGCCTGGAGCTCCTTGGACTGGCCTAGCTACAGCAGGTTTCTGACAGAAAAGGCTGCTAATTCACAGGCCTTTTCTCTCCTGAACCAAAGCAGATCTTCCCTTGAGTTAAAAGTTAAGAGAAAAACCCAAGCAAGGGAGCTGCCCCACCCTCCTCTGGAGCAGTGACTTCAGACCAAGAGCCTGCTATCAGCTCAGACATGGAAAAACTCTACCACAGGAATGTCACATAAGAAGCAGACTACCTGATACCCTACACAAGTCCAAAGCAAGGTATCACCCAAAAAAAAGTGACACAGTATCAATGGATTTCCTGAAGCTAGAAAGTATGATAGAACTTTCTGACACAGAATTTAAAAGAACAATTATTGAATAGTGTCAATGGGTAAATGACAAACATGAAGAATTACAGGACACTGCAAGCAAAGACCAAGTTGTTGTTGTTGTTATGTGCCTTCGAGTTGTTTACAACTCATAGCAACCCTATGTACAACAGACCCAAGCCCTGCTTAAAAAAACAATCCAAAACAATGAACATAAAACAGATGAGGCATTAGAGGCTCTGAAAAAAAATAGAAATCATAATCCAAAATATGAGGACCAAAGTTTCAGATGATGTCAACATGTTGGAGGGACAGAAGAACAGAGTTGAAGATATAGAACACAGAACCAATGAAGTAGAAGATAGAATTGTCAACTCCTGATCTGCTAAAACAAAAAGCAAAGTCAAAAAAGAAAAGAAAAAAAAAACACCATAAGAACAATGTAGGACATCATGAAGAGAAATAACATGCTCATAATTGGAATCCACAACTGGAAGAAGCAAGTAAAGGCACTGAAAAAGTTGTGGAAGAATTACTAAAATAAAACTTTCCAGGTATAATGAAGAGTGAGAGAATATATATTCAAGAAGCTGAGTGAACACCATACAGAATAGACCTCAAAAGAAAAACACCAAGGCATAACATAGTCAAATATGCCAAAACCAAAGATAAGGAGAGAATTCTGAAAGAAGCTAGGGAGAAGCAAATAAGATTGTCAGTTTCTCAGCAGAAACCATGCAAGCAAGAAGACAGTGGAATGACATGTATTGAACACTCAAAGAACACAAACTCTCAACCAAGACTATTGTTTCCAGCAAAACTGTCCATCAAATATGAATGAGAGATCAAGATATTCCCAAAAAAATAGAACCTAATGGAGTTGGTAAAAACAAAACCAGCATTGCAGGAAGCACTGAGAGACGTCCTTCTTACAGAGGTGGCACAAAAGACGGGATGGACCAAAGCAAGCAGCAACACCACCAAAAAGAACTTGACCAAATGGTAGCAATAAAACTTTGCCTCTTGTTAATCACACCGAATGTGCATGGTTTAAATGCATTACTGAAGAGAAAAAGAGTAGCAGATTGGATAAAAAACTAAAGTGCATCAATGTGCTGTCTACAAGAGACCCACCTGAAGAATGAAGATAAAGACTAAACATAAATGAGTAGGGGAAAATGTACTAACCAGAGTAACCAGGAAAATCAGGAGTAGTGTTATTAATCTCTGATAAAATAAGTTTCAATGTAAAAACCATCACAAAGGACAGGGAACATCACTAAGTAATGCTTTAAGAGTCAATAGAACAAAAAGACATAGCAATAATAAATATCTATGTACCAAATGATAGAGCTGCAAAATATATAGACCACAAATTAACAAAACTGAAAAAGGAAATAGAGAACATACACTATATTAGATGGAGACTTCAGTACACCACTCTAAAGAAAAGATAGAACTACCAGAAAGAAACTCAACAGAGGTACTGGAGAATTAAACCACACAATAAACCAACTCAGTTATGTGTGTGCGCACACGCACGCTAATACACCCCCAAAAAGCACAGTTTACTTTCTTCTCCAATATGCATGGAACATTCTCGAGAATAGATCACATTTTAGGTCCCAAGACAAGCATCAGTAAATTAAAAAACATACAAATAATGCAAAGCATGTTCTCAGACCACAAGGCTACAAAATTAGAAAGTATTAACAAGGGGGAAAAGGAGAAAAAAACCATACATTTGGAAGCTGAAACAACACCATGCTAGAACATGAGTGGGTACTAGAAGAAATAAAAAATGAAATTAAAAAGTTCTTGAAACAAATGACAGTGAAAACACAACCTACATAAAAAAAACCCCAAGCCCTGTGGGAAACAGCGAAAGCAGTAATTTGAAATCAATATATAGTAATAAGCAAAAGTATCAAAAGACAGGAAAAATGACCATTGACTCTCTAACACCTTCAACAAATTGAAAAAGAACAGCAATAAAATCCAGTACCCTCAAAAAAACCAACTGAAATTAAAAAAAAAAAATGGAGCAGAAATAAAGGAAAGAGAAAACAGAAAAACAATTGAAACCATTAACACCACCAGGAAATGGTTCTTTGAAAAGGTCAATAAAATCAACAAACCACTAACAAAACTAACAAAAGAAAAGACACAAATAATCAAAAAAGGAGATGAAACAAACAATGTCACACAGAACCAACTAAAATAAAAAGGCTAACAATGGAATATTATGAAAATCTAAACTCTAACAAATATGAAAACCTAGAGGAAATAGGTAACTACCTAGAAACTCACAACCTATCTAAACTGACACTGATCAAAATTGAACACCTGAACAGATGCATTACAAAAGAAGAAATTGAAAAGGTAATAAAATAACTTCCAGTTTTTTTTAAAAAAAGCCCTGAATTAGATGGTTTTACAAGTGAATTTTATTGGGAGTGGCTCCTGAGCATCTGCACCTGCTGCCACATCTGCATCTACTAACCCCTGGCCCAGCTGCGCCTGAGCCCCCCCCCCATCACCACTGCACCACTTCCCTCCCTCTGTCCCTTCCTCCTCTTCCTTCCTCCTTCCCCCTTCCCCTCCTCATTGCTGCTGTCCAGGACCACTGGAGGGGGATGGTAGGGGAGGGGAATGCGCTCAGGGCAGCAGCCAGGTAGAACTTTAGACTTCATAGCACTGAATTAATCTACCCTGAAAGGTGATTATCCAAAAACGACTGGAACAGTACATCAGCAGAGAACTGCCAGAAGTCCAGGCTGGGTTTAGAAGGGGTCGTGGTACTAGGGATATTGTT